TTTTGAAATAATATTTTGATGAAAAAGTGTGTAGTTAAATAAGTATTGATTTTGGATTTGCATGTAATATTATTTTATTAAAGAATATGTTATTAAAAATAACTGAGAGAAAAGTGTATTTAAAAAAAAAAAAAGAGGATCAAACAACGGGATAAATAAAAAATTAAATAATTTTATTAATTAAATAGGTTAATATCACTAACATATAATTTATTATCATAGTTACGCACAAGTCACAATCACACGACGTTACAAGCACAAATCACAAATTTTATAAGTCATAATTTATTTATTGATCATAAATTATCAAATTAATTAGTTATAATTTATTTTCTTGATCTCCAATCACAAATTTTATGGATCATAACTTTTATTTATCGGTTATAAATTATCAATTTAATTGGTTACAAGTTATTTCTCAATCATAACTTTTCAAATTAATTGGTCAGAAGTTATTTCTCGATCTCAACTTATCAAATCAATTACTCACAAATTATTTATCGATAAAAATTATCAACTAACTGATCATAATTATCCAATTAATTAGTCACAAATTATTTTTCATCTGCTCTACCTCATCTCACCCCACTCTACCACCATCGGCACGACCCATAACATTGTTGCCATCGCCATAGATCCACCACCACTACAACAACCACCTCCTGCACCAACTACTACCTCCTCCTTAAATTTGCCAGCACATCGCACCGTCACAACCACCTACATCAACAATCCAACACACAGCCTACATACCTCTTCTTATTTACCTGTGAAATCACCACGGCAGTAGATCGCATGAAGCAGCCCTTGTTGTAACAGATCGTAAGAAGCACTTGTTATAACAGTGGCGATGAGTGTCATTGTCTTAGTTGTGACATGCAACGGTGCCCATTATTGCGCCTTCTCATGCAGCAAGTGCGCTGTCATTGTGAAATGAACGTACTATCGTACATTGCATAGTGGGCGTCGCCGAACGAGAACCTTAATTTATGGTGTGGTGTTCTATTTCTGTGACATGGGGTAAAAGTAAATTAGGTTTTTTGGTGTGGAATAGGGTAGAGTACACCTGATTTTTAAAAGAATAATCTTTACATTTGATTATTGAAATGAAAAGTTGAAATGTAGGATTTAAGATAATTTTTTCTTTTTTTGTTATATCAAAATCATTTTTTTCTAAAGGCTTACCGATTAGCCCGTTATTTATAGAACACACTCTAAGCCTATTTACGAAAAGGGAAAATTACATAAAACCAAGCATTTCAAAATTACAATTCAAAAATCAAATAATAAGTTTGTTTAATCACAAATCAGGTACCCATCTTATCCATTCAAATTTTAAACCCTAAAATTTTCATCTTCACTCCATATTCTCTCCTTACTCTCTCCACACCTCAGGCACGCCGCCCATTACCGGAGACCACTGCGAGTGATTGCTTCCCCAATCCCGTCTCACTCTTCTCTCTCTCTAAACACACGCAGTCACATATCTTATCTTCTTCCCAATTTCTCTTCTCTCAACAGTAGCGGCGCCGCCACTGGAAGAGGATCTTCGGCGCAACGGTGTTACCATGGATCGTCTGCGCAGCGACACCACCAAAGGGCGTCGTGAGTAGCAGCTATGTGAGCTATAGATCTCCTCGCTTACTTTTTTGTTTTCAACTTTTGAGTGGTGGTGATTAATTGTTCGGTGGTAGATGTGTACGGTGCGGTAGTGGTGTTAGGTGTGCAATGCGGCAGTGATATGATATGTTGTCACGATGGTGGTGCAGTGGTGGTATGATGCTGTGGAGGTAGAGGTGTAGGTATGCGATCGGTAGGTGTGACGGTGGTTTGCTGCTGGCGGTGTGAGTGGTGTTGACCGATTTTCGTGTTGTGATAGGGATGGCTCTGGCAGTGGTGTTGCAATGGTGGTGGTACGGTAGTGGGGATAGTTATGATGCTGGTTGTGGTTTGCCGGCTAATGTTGTTGTGAACAGCGATGGTTTTGATGGTGTCGTGTAGGGTGATGGTTTTTGTTGGAATAAATGGTGGTTCTGGTGATGACATCGCAATGATGGCTTTTGTAGGGTGTTGGTGGTTTTGTATCTGTTTTGTTTGTGATGAGGTGGTACTAGTTGCAGTATTTGAGATGACAGGGTTGCTAGAGATGGTGGTGGTGGTTTTGGCAGCGGTGATTTTGACAGCGATGTGGCTGGTGGTAGTTGTGAGATGGTGGTCACGGATGATTTGATTGTTTGTGACCAAAAATTTGGCGTATGTACCAACCATTTTGTTATCTGTGACCATCTATTTAGTGTAACCTAAAAATTTAAAAATCTGTAACCAAGTAATTTGGACTTTGAAATAATCTGTGACCTGTAAATTTTTTATTTGTAACCTTGAAATAAATTGTGACTTATAAAATTTTTGATTTGTGACCTCGAAATAATCTGTGACCAATTAATTTAATGATATGTGACCAGTAAATAAATCTGTAACCTGTAATCATAAATCTGCGACCATTTATCATATAACTGTGACTTAATTTTATTTAATTAATAAATATTTTCAATTAATTGTATAGATTCCTGAATTTTGAATTTTTAAATTATATACTTGATTTGTGAATTGATGTAAACAATACACCGGAATTATGATTTTTTTCCTTACAAAAATAGGGTGAGCCTAGTGCACGAGTAGGAGCAACTTAGGCCTGTGTATTAATGTGGAAATAAACTTTCATTCTTTCCCATCATTCATTCACACTTGTTCATCCCATCAACACCTAGTCTCTGTTTGAGCCTCATTATATAAAAATTTATTTTTTACCTAAAAAATCATTCTAACCACGCATTATTTCAATAAAATAATTTTACACATATATTCAAATTTTTCTACTTTTTAACCACACATTTTTACAAAAAATTACTATGGAAAAAATTGGGCTCAAACACACCTTCAATATCATTAAGGTCACTCTCATTAGAAGTTTCTGTGTAGCATATTACAATTCAAGTTCTCCTCCTAGAATTTGGGTCAATATATGTGAGTTAAATGTTTGAGTGGCCATTGAACATCGCTATATGTCACCGTTTACTCACTCTATTTTAAAACCTTTCCAAATGGCCACTCAACTTGAATCCGTCCAACTCCATTGACCACCGGATGGAATCCATTATTAAATCTGCTTACATGGATCACGATAATCTCACATGACACGTTAAATGTTAAGTTATTTGCCACATGAACTCCATGTCAGCAGTGGCCAAACACATATTTTCCTTGATTTACAAATTAAAAAGCAAAATCTCTCATCTTTTTCCCAAACACGTCTCTTCCTCTTTGAAAACCATGATTTACTGGCAATGTTGCACCTTCTAAGCTACAAACTATCATTAATGATGCTGCCTTGCAAGAATACCAGGTGTCGAGCTAGGGCATATATGACATACTTAAATGGTGGGGTTCCATCATCATTAACACCACATTTTGGGTCAAGAACAATACGATTGATGTAGGGTTGGCAACGGTTCAGTTATGGGTCGGTTCGGCCAAAACCATAACCGCACCACCAATTTTTTGACAATACCATAACCGCACCATAATCACGTAAATCATTTCGGTTCGGTTCGGTTAATAACCACGAAAATAAATTATTTTTTATAGGTTCATCCGTCAAACTGATGTAAAACAATTTATGAAAAAAGTCAATGAAAACAAAAACAAAATATTCCAAATGAAAATGCAAACATTATCCAAAATCTCAATTGTAAAATACAAATTTAATAAACAATCTTATAAATATAACAATACTAAATTTTTTCTTCATTCTTAATTATTGTGCATCGAAGTTACTTGATTCATTCTCCCCCACAAGTCTTACTCGTATAAATCAACACTCAAAGTTGATTCATATATGGTAAATAAGAAATGTAAGTAGAGAATACAACGATACTACCTATTTTAGAATGGTCTTAACTAAGATTTAAATAAAAAAAATGTACCTTTTCATCATCTTCCTTCTCGTTAAACATTGCACAAGCGTTAGAGTATGATGAAAAAGTAGAATTTTCTACTCACAATAGAAAAAAATTAAAAATAAAAGGAGTCGTGCGTGAGTTTGTAGTCTGTGGAGAGTAGGGTTTGCATATATATATTGTCATACTAATGTTATTATTATTGGCTAATGGTAAGTGGGTTGGCCGGCTGAGTCATGTAGATGTAATGGGGGGATTTTGTTTTGGGCTAGATAGAAAAGTAATGTAAATCTCAATAATCAATTCAATTGGTTTTTTTTTTTTAATAGTGGGTAATCGATTTGGTTTCGGTTTGACGGCGTAAATACCATACCTGCACCAGCACGAATCGGTTCATAAAAATAAAAATCATATCCGCCCCATTGCACCATCGGTTTGATTTTTTTCGCCCCATTCGATTCGGTTAATCGCGATTTTCGATTTTGACTGTTCAAATTGCCATCCTTAGATCGATGTTTCTCCGTTTTGACATACTGAAAAGCCCTCTCAAGTACCATACAAAAATAATAATCATAATAATAATGCTGAGACATACAATACCAAAATGTATGTACAATATTTACTCAACTAGCATGTTTATGCAACAATCGTTGATCAATCTGTAATTAGCATTTCAATTTTCGAAGGCATTGTTCCAATTTGGGGTTTTCTAGGAAGAAGAAACGTGTTCCGGAAAAAGGTGAGAAATTCTGCTTTTTAATTTGTAAATCAAGGCAAAGGCTTGTTTCACTGCTGCTGACATGAAGTTTACGTGATAAATAATTTAACATTTAACGTGCCACATCAGATTATCGTGATCCACACAAGCAAATTCAATAATGTATTTCATCCCATGGTCAATGGAATTTGATGGAATAAAATTGAGCGGTCATTGAAAAAGGTTTTAAAATAGGGTGAATAATCCGTAACATATAGCAAAGTTTAATGGCAGCTCAAACATTTAACTCTCATGTGCATACGTCATTAATATAAACGCACACTGGCATACATGGAAATAAAGATCGTTCCACACTTGAGATATCAGAGGGAAGTAGCGTGTTACTCTGCAGAAACCCTTTCACATCACCCCATCCATATTGCTATATTTACATAAAAACACAGAGAGAGACGAAAATGATGTGGGAAGCTGGAGAATCAACCGAAGGAGGAGGGGGTGTGAACGAAAATGGAGGAAGTGGGAGGAGGAAGCCATCGTGGAGAGAAAGAGAGAACAACAGGAGAAGAGAGAGAAGAAGAAGGGCTATAGCGGCCAAGATATATACAGGTTTAAGGGCACAAGGGGATTACAATCTGCCTAAACACTGCGACAACAATGAGGTCCTCAAAGCTCTCTGTGCTGAAGCTGGTTGGATTGTTGAGCCTGATGGCACCACCTATCGCAAGGTTTTTTTTCCTTTTTCGTTTAGTATTTTTCCGTAATAATTCATCTCTGTTATCTGATAAGGATCTTTTTTTGTTACGGGTTTGTGTTTTTCTTGCTTTTTATAATGGGTTTTGCTTGGATCTGCTTAGATCTAGAAACTATTAGGTTTTCTTAATTTGAATCAAGATTACTGTTATTTTATCCTAAGTTTAATAGGCTAATTTTTGTTTTCTGGCTTTTGATCTGTTGAGAAAATGGGTGTAAATTGTAAATAAAAGGTTTTCTTTATGGGATTTTTCTTCTTTTACCCAGTCTTTAACTTTTCTTGCTGGTTGTGGTAAAGCATTTGAAAACGCTCTATTTATGGCTAGTTCTAAACTGGTTGTGAAAAAATTGGCTAAAGATTTATTGCATTCTTGTTATTCGTTAAATTCTTATCCTTTGTCTTAAGGCAGTGTTGTCTTCTTGTGTAGTACTGTGTTGCTGAATGTGTTTTTGTGTATAAAATGTTGAGAGAAAAAAGAATACCAGGGAAACTGATCTTTTCAGCATTGAAGTATTAATTCATTTGTGCAGCTAATATTTTATTTCGCTCGAGTGCCTTCTCCTTTAAATTCATTTACTTTTTGCTATCTAAATCCATGTGATTTTTTCTTCTTGTTGTATAGAGATTTTGGAGTTTGGAGTTAAACTATTTGTTAAGAGTTTGTGGATGAGCAATTTCATCTCTTTCCTATTGGAATGCACTGCTCAATCGAGCGAAAATTGCAGCATGTCTTCCATATTTTCAATGTCAAACTCGAAGTATTTATATTTAACAGAGTTTCCCTGATAAGATAATAATGTTTTTGTGATTGTCTGATATTATTTCCATAATAGCGTGAATCATGATATGTTATTGGTATACATCTCTCCTTCAGCTGTTTGTAACCTTATGAATGTTGTCATTTTGTTCTTTGATTCTTAGAAAAGTTGTACAAGCTTCTCTTGCTTGATTCATTGTTTGTCTCAATTGTAGTTTATAGTTTTTAACATTCTGCTTTTAATAATCAATATATCATCCAGGGATGCAAACCACCTCGCCGGGAAAGTGGAATCATTTCAACCAATATGACACCTTGTTCCGTAAATCCTAGTCCACCATCATCATATTTCGCAAGTCCAATTCCTTCTTACCAACCGAGTCCATCATCCTCGTCCTTCCCCAGCCCGACTCGACAATGTGCCAACCCATCATCACATCCATTTGCATTCCTCCTTAACTCTATCCCGTCATCTCTCCCTCCTCTCCGAATATCAAACAGTGCCCCTGTAACTCCACCTTTATCATCGCCAACTAGACGCCCTAATCAAACTTTCAATTTGGAAACTCTCGCAAAAGAATCCATGTCCGCGTTGAATATCCCCTTTTTCGCTGCTGCTTCGGCCCCGGCAAGTCCAAATCGTGTTCGGCGCTTCACTCCAACAACCACTATACCTGAATGCGATGAGTCAGACTCATCTACTATTGATTCTGGCCGATGGATGAACTTCCAGGCATATCCTAATGCACCCACCATGGTTCCAACTTCTCCAACCTTTAATCTCATGAAGCCTGTGGCTCAACACCTTACTTCCAAGGACACCATGTTGGATAAGGGGAAGAGTACAGAATTTGGGTTCGAGAATGTTCCAGTGAAGGCATGGGAAGGGGAGAGGATTCATGAGGTGGGATTGGATGATCTCGAGCTCACACTTGGAAGTGGGAACGCTCGGAATTGAGAACAACTGCACACTGGGTGGAAATATTGATGAATTTGAGTTTCTGATTGCATCCTGTGCCGAAAATACTCGCATTAATCTCATCGAAGTACCTGTCAAGTGAAACACTATGAATTTAACCAATTTAGCAGGGATTAGTTTTGAATTGTTGTTGTATGTTTCGGTGTTCCCATTATTATTAAGCCCTTTCAAAATATTGGAGGATTGCATGTAGATAGTAGTTTCTTCTCTCATTTTCATTCAGTATTATTATTATTTGCATTGTAGACTGGTGAGAATATATTCACCTAAGAACTGTTTTGATGCTCGGTCTTAATTATAATAAATTTCAGTGTTTGGCATACTGCATTTTGTATTCCTTTTTCTGATTACCCTTTTTATTGTTTTAAGCAGTGATTTTATGTTACGACGTGTAGGTTTTCCATAGTTGGACATATTGAACCAAAGCGAAGTTAATTCTGAAAGTTTTCTTCATTTTCTTGAATCACCTCACCTGGGTTCTGCATTTCAAAGAACCAAATTACACAATTTAACACTTTATCCTGCTTCAAGAGCATCAACTACCTTGACCATTGTTGGAGGTCCCATAGATCTTCATGGGCGCACAACCTCCATTTGCAAGAAAGTGGAGCATTTTATCCTTCCATGTAGCCGAACCAGAAATGTAAGGTCGAGTACATACGGCTTTCCCTGTGTAACCATCCAACGAGACTGCCTCTCGCGACATCAGCTTGTCCAGTTGGTGATCTTCCTGTTATAAGCTCAAACATCGCCAGTCACCACCCAAAAGTTGTAGATGTCTCCCTTGGTTGTAGCCGCCATAGTCTGGCAATACTCAGGTGGTATATAACACGACTCTCAGAAGCACTAATTAACTTAGCTAGGCCAAAATCCGATACTCGTGGTTCAAAGTTCCCGTCCAGTAGTATATTGCTCAATTTGATGTCTCTGTGAATAATGTGGCGAACGTGTCCATGAAGAAAAGCAAGTTCAAGAGCTGAGCGAAGGGGAATCTTGAACCTGGTAGACCAGTCAAGTGCCTTGACTGCATCTGGCCAGTTCCTTCGCCAAAATTCTAGTCTTCCATTCTCAGTGCCCCAGCCATGGGACCAAATTTTTGTGCTTCACCTTACCAATTGTTTCAACTTCAGCCAAGAATTACCGTTCTCCATGCAAGTGACCTCATTAAGCCCCTTGACAGCTATTGTTCTTCCTAGGAATGGCAGTGGGACGGGTATGGGATGGGCCAGCTATTCCCATCCCGTTCCGCTAGGTATTTTTGTTAGACATTTTAAATTGATGGGGCACAATCAAATTTGCAAAGAATACAAATTTACGTTCATCGTAAACATCATCAAGTTTGTAATCTTTTTTTTTTTACCCCTCAAACATCATTTTCATCACTTTTATCTCGAATAATCTTTTCATTAACATTGTGATCAGCAAAAGAAAAAGCAAATTTACGTTTAAATTATTTTTCCATCACGATTAATGAAAATAATCAATTCAAATGAAAAATACAAAAAAAAAAAATAGCAAATTTTGAATATTACATTATCAATTCCATTCCAGTTCAAACAAAAATAAAAATCACAGCACTAAGCTATTACCATAAAATCGGTAAAACAAGATAGAATTTGGAGGACTTGCGGGAATCCCTAATTCCATTTCATAAGAAAATACACAAGAAATAATTTCTTAAAGCTTCAAAACTGATTTTTGAAAAAATAAAAAACGAACCATTCAATTTAAAGTTAGCGGGTCAAGTGACCCACCTTGGTTCCACCAGTGATTATCTTACCCTATATCCATATCCGATTAAAGCGGAATGGGACGAGACGGGGGGTCCCTTGCCCCATATTTTTTTCTTTTTCTTTTTATTTATTTTTTTGTTTTTATTTTCGTCTTTAGTTAGTAAATATTATTACATTTTTACCAATTTGTTAAAAACAACTTATATTCTCTTTAAAAATGATAATAAATTTATTATTTTTGTTTGAAAACTTAAATTTGAAATTTAACTTTAAACGGTGTGGGTAGCAGGGCAAGGACTATGTTTCCCGTACCAGATTTTGTATACCATGTCAAATCCACCGTCACCAATAAGATAACACCGACTAAAATTTTCGTCAGCAGATAAAATATCTGCAGTCTTTATCCTTAATAGGTGTGCTCAAAAGTTGCAATATCTTTTGACTTCTTACCCAAAATTGCATCACTAGATGCCGACTCTTGTGTCATCACAGCTCAACATTGGCAACTTCGTCAGTATTTACACCATCTCGTCTCAGCATATTCCATTCGAGAAGCCCAAAAAGCAGGACCTGGGATATAAATCTAACACCAACAACAACATCAGAACCAATTATTGATGTTAGAGTTGTGACTCAAATTGAAGTCTTGAATCGCGTATTGTTAGTGTTGGAAATGAGTCTATTTGCATTCAACAAGAAGGAAACAAAATCCCGTTGAAATTAAGTCTCTTAATTGTAATATATTTTCTTACCTTTTAGGACTTTTCTAAGGTTTGAAATGTAGCCTATAAATACAAAGCTCTTCTATCAGTTTTGTTTAAGCATTATTGTTGTGTCTGTAATTTCTATCCATATTGTCAGTTTATAATACATCATTCCTCTACGATAAATTCTCCTTGTTCTTCTTTACTTTTAATCTTGTTTCTTATTGTGATATTTATTACTTCACATCATCATTAAATCTCATTCATTACAATACATCTGAAATCAACAAGTGGTATCGGAGCTTGGTTCTTCTTTTGTGGATTGGTTGAGGTTTTTTCAGAGATGACTACTATGAGGTATGACATTCCGCTATTGGATCGCAATACAAGGTTTTCTTTGTGACAAGTAAAGATATGGGCTATTCTAGCGCAGTTGGATTTGGATGATGCACTGCTAGGTTTTGATAAGATGCTAGCTGATTGGACAATGGAAGAGAAACAACGGAGGGATCAGAAGGCTTTATCGCAAATCCATCTTCATTTATCCAACAATATTCTACAAGATGTCTTGAAGGAAAAAACAATGACTGCCTTGTGATTGAAACTGGAGCAGTTATGCATGGCTAAAAGTCTCACAAGCAAATTGCTCTAAAGCAGAAGCTATATTCTTATCGCATGGCAGAAGGAGAGTCATTGAAGGACCATATTGCCGTGTTTAAGGAAATAGTTGCAGATTTGGAGATATTGGAGGTTAAGTACGATGAAGAGGATGTAGTCTTGATCCTGTTGTGTTCGTTGCCTAGCTCTTATGCGTCGTTTCGGGACACCATTTTGTATAGTCGAGATACTTTGACTATAGAGGACGTCTATGATGCTTTGCACTCAAAGGAGAAGCTGACGCATTTGGTTGGAGCTACATCAAGGGATGAGGAAGCTCTTGTATCCCATAGTGGTCGATGGAGGGGTAGATCGAAGAATAATAGTAATTTGTTTTGCTTCTACTGTAGACGTAAGGGACATATCCGGAAGGATTGCGATAAGTTGCAGTCTAAATGTGATTTAGTTGCAAATCATGGAGTGCAACCTTTGACTTCAAATGAAACAAATGTAGTTCATGATTTTTTAGACAGCGAAGATGTGATGTTGACAGTGATATCTGACGTGGAATCTAGGCCTGACGATGAGTGGATTCTTAATTCGGCATGTTCGCATCATATGTGTTCCAATCGAAATTTCTTTCAAACATATGAGATTGTTCAACAAGGTAGAGTTGTAATGGGAAATAACCACTCTTGTTGTATTGCTGGGATTGGTCAAGTCAAATTTAGGCTGTGGGATAGGACAGCTAGAACAATTGATCAAGTTCGATGTGTTCCAGACCTGAAAAGGAATCTCATCTCGCTTAGTACTCTAGATGCAAAAGGGTATAAATTCTCTGGTGGACGGGTGTCCGAGTTGTACCAGAGGGACGGAGAATGTCTCAATTATACATCTTGCAGGAGAGTTCAGAACCAGTTAAGAAACATATGGACAAGTTTAGTACCATAGTGGATATTCAGTTTGGTACATTACTTCTTGTGACGAGGTCTGGGTCAATTCAGAACATTGCTCAAGGGAGCATTGGTGATTTCGCTTTATAACCAATTTCAACGATTGCACTGTGTTCTGTTGCTAGGATTGGATCCATTAAGCATAGGTACCATGGTGTTAATGATGTTTGTAATGCTTTTAGGGATGTTAAAGGCGACAGTTCTAGCAAGGGACCTTTTGTTTAGGCATTTTGTATAGTTTCTGCTTCAGAGTGTGCTTCGACCTTATTTGGTGAATATTAATTCCTTGGTGGAATTTTGGGAACCCGTGAGTAGGGTTCAAGTGTCGCTTGTAGACGCCGTGCAGAGGATGATGGTTTATATTGAGAGTTTTGGTTACTACGTTGAGGAGATTTGCCATTTCATTTCGATGCAAACGGCTTTATTTCTCAGGTGAAGAAATTTTGTGGAGTTCCACTCATTGCACCGGAATTTGAGTTAAAATGGAGATTTTAGAGTTGTGACTCAAATAGGAGTCTTGAATCGCATGTTGTTGGTGTTGGAAGGGAGTCTAATTGCATTCAACAATAAGGAAACAAAATTCCGTTGAAATTGGGTCTTCTAATTGTAATATATTTTCTTGTCTTTTATGACTCTTATAGGGTGAGATGTAGCCTATAAATACAAGGCTCCTCTGTCAGTTTTGTTTAAGCACTATTGCCGTGTCTGTAATTTTTCTCCGTATTGTCAGTTTATAATACATTATTCATCTGCGATAAATTCTCTTTGTTCTTCTTTATTTTTAATCTTATTTCTTGTTGTGATCTTTATTACTTCACATCGTCATTAAATCTCATTCATTACAGTCCCTCCAAGATCAACAATTGAAGCACGAGAGACAAATGAACTAGATGGGCATTGATGCTACATACTGGTCTAGAATGCATGGATTTTTTTCATGAAACAAGAATCTGGAATGTGACTAGAGAAATTGGCAAGGGTGAGGCCTTCTATGTTGCAGATTTGATAAGGAAGATATTCTTGGAAACGATTTTCTGATAAATCAAGTTACGACAAGGCATCTAGGGTTGAAAGCGATCAGAGCAAACTCTTAGAAAATCTACTTTTGTGGAGATCTAATATAGAAAGAGACGTTAAATTCTAGATGGACTCGTTAAGGATACCAAAGAAGTGATTATTGCTGGCATTAAAGACTATAAGAGCACTTCTCTGATTATGTGATAGCACAAGGCTAAGAAGATTTCTCATTGAGAACAATTCAGTAATCAGTGAACGGGACAAAGAATTGAGTGACATATTTTAGCAAAGTTAAGTTTACAAGCATTGAAATCTCATTTGGA